TCTTGTGCTCCCAGCCCTCCATCAAGTGTTTCATGGTGGTGAGCCTCTGCCCATCTTTACCTCAGATTCAGCCTGTGTAGAACGTTCTTGTGCTCCCAGCCCTCTACCTGACCTGCTGCCAGTCGCCAACGCTCCGACGTCTGTTGCTCAATGGTACGATTTATTTTGACGGCCTTTTGTTCCTCATTTCTTTTAGATGTGTTGCTGCCATTAAATTCATAAAATGCTTTTCCTCAAATTGACACAACTTCTTAATTCAAACACAATAAAAAAACAGTCCTACTGTAAATTAAATGTGTGTGTGTGTGAGATTTGAAGATGGCTGCACTCACTTTTTAATGTATCTTTTACACAGCGTCCTCTTTGGGTCTGGGGTTGTGTAGTAGTTACAGAAGACCAAACGAGCTGCACAATTTCTATCTTGATTTAAATATTCAGTTTCGTGGCTTTAGACAAATTTAGTTTTATGGCTCTTAAGGATGTAAAGGCTGCCGACCACTGAGCTACCGTCCTTTGTTCTAGTCCTGCTTTAGCCAGGCAGGGGGAAGGAGAAGACGGGAGAGGATGCTGAGCAGATGGACGGTTGTTTCAGGTGTGTGTGTGTGTGTGTGTGTGTGTGCCACTACAGAGTAGTTTTGTGCAGAGACGTGGGGTGAAGCTGAGGGGACAGAGGTTCAAGGCTGGGTCACTGCACTGGGCTCCTTGTCATAGATGTAGCTGCCCACACCACCAGTGTTGACTCCTGGAGAAACCACAGGGGAGGCAGGGGGTGTCGGGGGGGAGGGGAATAAACAGGGAAAATGAGCAGGATGGATTGCAAAGTATTTCCTGTACAAGTGAGCGGAGGATGTGGAGTGTGCTGCGACTCAAGAGCAGCTGGTAAGTGGCGGGCTGACGGCGCCACCTAGCGGTTACCTTTAGGCCCGAAGAGAACGGCGTAGCACGGCTTGTGGCAGTACGGCTGGCCGTCATGCTGCAGAGGACGAGCAAGGGAGAACACAAGTTTAGTTTGGGCTGGACCTGGACGTGAAGCACAGTTGGACTTCAGCAGAACTAAATATTAATCATAGACTTCATAATGTTTGTTGAATTTAAATGTCGACTTTTTAAAACATTTCTGAGACTTTTGAAGCCCCGTGGGTAAAGATGGACAGAAAAATACAAATAAAATGGCTCCGTTCGTTCCTTTAATAACAAAGTCTTGTAAAACAATCTGTTGGGAAGAGCTTCCACAAATTTCTCAAAAGAAGATCAAATTTGTGGAAGCTCTACATTAAAATAAAATAAAATAAAAATGAGTCATTCATAGCACATCAGCCTTGAGCGCTAACAGGTTTCACGCCATCATAAGGAGACGTCATGTGACCCAATTCTTGCTCTAAAGATTTTTAAACCAAACACTATTCCTACGGCAAGCTGAATACTCACACTTTGTATTTTTAAATTATAAATGAGATTCTTTTGTTTTAAACACTGTTTCAACTCTTTATGGATTATCTTGTGTTACATGAAGGCCAAAGAGAAATGTAAAACGAGTTTTAAGACATGCTGATTTTGATTTTAGGAGTAAAACTCGTTCTTTAGATCAAAATAAATGAGTCATTAGTGGCAGTGCTAACCCAGGCAGAAGAAAGAAATGTGATTTGCTGCTCCAAACTGTCACCGCTCTGCACTGCGGTTGTGAACGACGTTAAGTGTTCGATGTAATGATCAGTGCTGGTGTGAGCAGTCAGTAAGGGACAGCACGAGATACTCTTGCCAGTCAATGCCGGTCGTCCAGCCATTTAATGGTCACCAGTGGTGTGCCACAAGGCTCAGTTTTTGGACCCACTCTTGTTACAATTTATACAAGTAATGTAGGTCAACACATTCCCGACACATCCTTCATCTCTATGCCGATGACACCGTTGTTTATTGTCGAGCTAACACAGCTGCCAAGGTCTTCCAGTTTTACAGTCTGCATCTGACATCATCCAGTCAAACTTATTCCACCTCAAGCTGCTGCTAAATGCTGATAAAACCAAAGGGATGATGTTTTCAAACAGGAAGTCTGTGCCAGCAGCTCCTCCTCCTCTCTCATCCATTCATTCAACCTTTATTTAGACTGGTTAATCCCACTGAGCCTCCATGCATGGTGTTCATATTGAGTTTGTAGATTCTTACAAATACTTGGGAATTTTAATTGATGCACATCTCTCTTTTAAACCACATGTTGAAAACTTGTTAAAGAAACTGAAATTAAAACTGGGTTTGTTTTTCAGAAATGTACGAACCTTTATTTAAGCAGGCAAACCCCACTGAGATCACAGATCTGCTTTGCAAGGGAGGCGTGGACCTGAAGGCAGACCAACAATACATCCTGTCCAACTGTGAATGCAAGGAAACACCATGCAGCTGCAACTTTCCTTCCTTCCATTGATCATGGTGACATCATTGACATGAATGCCCCTGCCAGCTGTTTGCAGATGTTGGATGCTGTCTACCATGTCACGCTAAGATTCACAACTACCGTACCATCACTGCACCCTGTACTCGCTGGTTAACTGGTCACCATTAACTACACATAGACTCTCACACTGGTTCATCTTCATCTATTAATCCCTCCTTGGTCTGCTGCCTTCTTATATCCCACATGTCACGTCGTCAGTGCAGTTACAGCGTGCGCTCCCAGGACAGCGTTGCTGGCAGCGTTCCCTCAGTAATAAATTTGATGAAGCCTACGCCTGGCTGTTTTGGGAATCCCTTTTTTCCACGACAGTTCTCACCTCTGCATGGCTGCCAGCAGTCAGAGTCTTGCCGCACCTTTCGCAGCGCAGACAGGGTCGATGCCAGTCCTTCCCCAGAGACGTCACCTTCTCAGCTGTTAGAACAAACACACATGGAAACCTTTAGCATATTCACACCTTGAACTCCGACAAGCCTTCCTTTAGGTTCCTGGAACTCTTTGACTGCTCACCAAAATACACCTTCTTGTTGCATCGGGGACACAGGTTGGCCTCGCCAGAGAACGTGGTGACGCCGCCAGCTGCTGGAAAATACACATACGATGTGTTAGAGGTACTGCAAACAGAACGGTGTCATGCTCCCTCCATTTAGCTGTAAAACTTACTACTAACGATGCAGCAGAAATAACGTGTAGGAAAATAAAACTGAGCCAAGTTCTTCAGTTTTTATAGATTTCAAGAGGAACAAAGCGTCGTGCCAACAACTGAGGGATTTTTTTTAATACCATTGTCTTTCACTTGTTCTTCTTAACTTGTATTTTCTTTTATTATTGTCTGTTGTTGTCATCGCTCTTCGTTAAATCAGGTCTGTGGTGTAAATGAGGCTCAGTGAGACTAACCTGTTTAAATATTGAATGAATGAATGAATTTCCAAAGAGCCCGTCACTGAGGGCTTTGAATAACGGTAAATGGACTGTACTTATACAGCACCTTTCTATCTTATTGAGATACTCAAAGCTCTTTACAACAATCTGTGCCTCATTGACCCATTCATACAGCTCTATACTAGATCTCTACAAAGATAACTGAACAAATCATTCTAAAGAGACTGATTAGAGCTTCATCACATTCATGCACTGATGGGACACACATCGGAGGCTATGAGGGGTTCAGTGTCTTGCCCAGGGACACTTCGGCATGTGACTGCTGTGGGGTTCGAACCCCCAACTCTTGCATTGGAGGACGACTGCTCTAACCACTCAGCCACAGCTGCCCATAATGAACGTTTGCAGTTTTTGAGACGAGTGGAATTGAACAGGGAGTGAAAGTGAACCTTAATGGTGCAGAATCTTTACGTGGTCACGAGTTAATGTGTAGAAGAAGAGAGGCGGTTGTTTAGTTTTTGATTTTGTCTTGTCTGAGGCAGCGCAGTGACAGAGCCAGGGGGTGGCCAATGGTGGCCTTGGACACCATATATTAATCTTGGGCCACCCCAATCACTTGAGGAAACTTTTAAACAATATCAAAAACTAGAAAGCAGAGTTTCCTCAAATGATTGGGGTGGCTGTTTGTACACCTAGGTGCAGCTGATGGTGTTCCACGCCGAAGCAGAAGTCAGCACGTTGCTTAGTTTTCAAGGTGTCCCGTTCACAACGTTTATCTTTGTACATATATGGCAGCAGCCATTTTGGATTTTGATGAATGAAGTTGGTAGCACACTTATGTTTCCAGTGATCATGCTCACAACGTGCACGGATGGACTGATGGATGGCTGGAAGGAGGAAGGGTATTTTCAGGGCAAAGAACTAAATGTTAAGCAAAGACCTACCTTTATATTCAGAACAAAATATTCTGCTTCAAATTTTACATCCAGAAAACTAAAGTCCAATTAGTAGTTTTGAACATGGGAGCAGCCAGAAGAAAGAAAATCTAAACTACTTTCTTCTGGCTGGAGTCTTCACAACGAACATCCTGAGTCTACGAGACTTGGTCCTGAAGGTGGTTCATGTTGGCGTGCGTTCATTTGTCTGTTAGCTAAATATCTCAGGAAGCACTGAATGGATTTTAATAAAAATCTCAGAAAGAAATCATTGCATGTATTTTTACCATTATTAAACATTTACTGAATAAAATGAATTATTTAAATGGTCAAATTAAAATGAAGTCAATGCATTTAAAGATGGCAGCCATGGGCGCATGACCTCAGCAAACAGAAAAAAATCTGAAACTGTTTCTTTCCAGACACTGAGCTGTAATTTAGGTGCTAGCTGAGTCATGAACAACACGGAGTGAGTGGTAACAGACGTTGCAGGTTCACGTGAGGCCGTGCACAGTGTCATTCTCAAGGTTTCACCAAAACACACAAGTTCCCTGTAAGAAAAGACTTCTTACCTTTTGAAGATGCTTTGGCTGCGAACACACGCTTCTCTTCAGCTTTGGAGGCCGAATCTCCACCAGCCGGCGCTGAGTTGTTGCTGGCTGGAGCTTCATACACATACGAACCGGCCCCGCCGATGTTGACCCCTGCAACAGCACAGCTCTGGTCACTTTAGGGCCCCGAACATGTGCTTGTGTTGGATGTTAAGAAAAGAAGCGTGTACTTCACCTTTTGGTCCGAAGAGGGCAGCATAGCATGGTTTGTGGCAGTAGGGCCGTCCATCATGCTGTGGCAGAGACAGGCAAACAGACGAGCACGTGAGGAACTGGACACAGAAGCATTCAGTGTTCTGATGCCAAATGATGTGAAACCTAGACATGGAGTGCCTGTGCCCAAAGAAGGAGTACGTTTCATATTTTCCATCTCAGTGCCACCAAATGTTGAAGTCATTGTCCGTGTGTCTGAACCCAAAACACTCTGTCTCCAAGAAACAGGTCCTGCATGAACCCAACACGTCAGAGACACGTGATGCTCTGCGTTTCCACTTTAAGAAGGAAAAACGCTCGTCTGCGACATAAATGGCCTTCTGCAGAAACGTGCACACCACAGGGAGCCATCAGTTCTGGATGGCCTCTGGTCCAGGACCTGATGCCCATAGATGAGAACATGGAAGTAAATGCAGAGCGCTGCACTCTGGTGGTGGTGGGGGAGAACTGGTAGTTAAAGGCCCAGCATTTAGGAGGAACTATACAGCAACCATCTCATGCTGCACTGTCAGATATGACTCGTAGAGAATGATGCAAGTCCCTCTCAACTACTGTATGAAGTTACAGCTCAGTTTCTGTAAGAACCTCCATTATAACCATTATCATGTTACTGGGTTGACTCAAAAACCTGTGACATGATATTATATGTAACTTTACAATATTTACTGCGATAAGGCCTCTCTCATTGAGAGTCAGAGAGATTTGTCATACCACACGAGGTACAAGAGGTGGATGAATCTGTGTACACAGGGTCCCAGTTACATCCAACAAAACCACGAACTAAAGAAAACCAGTAGTAAGATCCGAGTCACGAACTAAGAATACGTTAAGCACTAATGGTACAGAAACAGCAGGTCATAACGAGTCCTCGAGGCTCAGACCTGTAGACGTAACGGCTGAATGAATTCTCCATCGATGGTCCTCACCATCATGTGGAGTAGATGTGTCTTTAGGACAGTGAAGTCCAACCATCATGTGGAGTAGATATGTCTTTAGGACAGTGAAGTCCTCACCATCATGTGGAGTAGATGTGTCTTTAGGACAGTGAAGTCCTCACCATCATGTGGAAAAGATGTGTCTTTAGGACAGTGAAGTCCTCACCATCATGTGGAAAAGATGTGTCTTTAGGACAGTGAAGTCTGAGCACATTATTAGCATCAAGGGTCTGAAGATGATACTTGACATTGTTGGATATTATGTTTATCTAGACTGGGCCTATGGTTTTGATCTGCTCAGAGACGGGATTATAAAGAAATTATGACCCGGATCTGACTGGGTTAAACTGGGCCAGCAACTCTAAAAAGAGTCTCCCAGGGATTTCAATATCAGTCAAGGAATAGACTTTAATCTGCCACATCACGTAGAAAGGTTTTTTAAGCATCGTCTCATATTTCCTAATGCATCAGAACCACATAAGATCCACTGAGATCACACTTAGCCACGCCCCCTCATACACTGACAGGTTGACCTCCCCTTCTGTGAAGGACGAGTCCAGGACCCTATAAATGAGTAATGACATGGGACATCGGGGCTCTTCTTCCGGGGTTTGTGAACGCGTCACAGACCGGAGAGACCAGCGCTGTGACTGTAACCTTTTCCTGCCTTGATTAAATTCAATTGAAAAAACTTAATTGATGTTTCCTTGATTTATTGTTTAGTATGAGTTACCACTTTTGAGGGAGATTCGAGCCGGGGGAAGCGACGTGGGCTGGAGGCGGGTCCAGGATCCGAAAGGGGGCCTCTTGGTGACCCGCAGCCAGCCCTGGTCCAAACGCAACAACATATAACGGTCACTGTTTGTTCAAGTGGTCCTTTGCAACACTAATGTTGTGTGGACCGAGCAGCTCCAGCAGCCTCCGCTGTCAAACTCAAGCAGAAAATCATTTTAATCAGCCGTGCACAGTGCACGTGTGATGCTGGGCCTTTCCAAATACAGGCCAGACTTCAAAACGTTTGAGTGTCACAGAAAATGATGGCTGTTGTTGTGTAGAACACAAACAGCCAAAACGCAGAAGAGTTACAGTTTCAATTGGAAACGACGTGGTGTGAACAGGTTGGTGTCTGAAAACGATGTCGTGTGAACAGGTTGGTGTCAGAATACGACGTCGTGTGAACAGGTTGGTGTCAGAAAACGATGTTGTGTGAACAGGGTGGTGTCAGAAAACGACGTCATGTGAACAGGTTGGTGTCAGAAAACGATGTTGTGTGAACAGGTTGGTGTCAGAAAACGATGTTGTGTGAACAGGGTGGTGTCAGAATACGACGTCGTGTGAACAGGGTGGTGTCAGAAAACGATGTTGTGTGAACAGGGTGGTGTCAGAAAACGATGTTGTGTGAACAGGGTGGTGTCAGAAAACGATGTCGTGTGAACAGGGTGGTGTCAGAATACGACGTCGTGTGAACAGGGTGGTGTCAGAAAACGATGTTGTGTGAACAGGGTGGTGTCAGAAAACGACATCGTGTGAACAGGTTGGTGTAAGAAAACG